AACTGTCTCAGCACATAGCCCCACACCATTACACACTTACTTTTGTCTCATTTATTTCAGTCTAAGAGGAATAGGCGTCTCTTTAGCTTGGAGCTAAGCAGTCTCCCTCTCCTGATGATCTTTTCCCTTCCTGTCTTCTCAGAAGACTTGCTTCATCAGTTGTTACCCTCTGTTCTTTTGTTTGTTAACTCCCTATGTTTTCCTCAATCTATATACATCTTCATGTCACTGCCTTCACATGTTAGCATCTTGAAAGACTGATTTGTTCTTCTTTTCAGTATCTTCATTACCCACTCAGGCTTCAACTTGCTGCAAGTAAGGCTTTTCCACCATTCCCCACTCCCCAGATGCCACTGAAAATGCTTTCAGGAAGGTCACAAATTAACTAATTTTCAAAAGGAATGTGTATTTTTTAGTCTTTATCGTATAACATATCTCATAACAGTTGACACTATTGACCACTGTCGTTTTCTCTGTGCTACAACACACTCTTAGATTTCCTTTGACCTCTCTGTTCATTCTTTTCAGTCTGTTACTAACTCGTATCTTTGTCCACATCGACCTGCCAGCATTCCATAAAGCTCTCTGGCCCCATCTTCACTTTGCATTGCTTCCTGAGCCGTCTCTTCCCCTCACTTGGCTTCTGCTTCAGCCTGCTTTGGGGGGATTTCCAAATCTGTGTCTCTCTTAATAAACTACTAAAATAATCCTATCCCTCTGTTTCTGGTCAGGTTTTGTTCATTCTGTCTTTCACAGGGCTAAGAAAAGGACTGTTCTAAAATACATATATAATATTGTCATTCCCCCTTATAAAACTTTCAGTGACTCCCTGTCACCTACATGGTAAAATCTAAATTTTACCTCCATGGCCTACCTCTATAGTGTATCCAAAATCCACTCCCTACCCTGCACTTTCTGCTTAATCACACTAAATTCTTTACTCTTGCATGATTATACTGCACTGTTCCTTGGCATATCTCCATAGCTTTGCGGATGCTGTTCTTTTGCATGGAATGCCTCTCCCATCTTTGTTAGCATAGTGAGCTTTATGTATTCTTGAAGATCACCTTAAGCAACACCTGTGTGAAGATCATCTGAGGTAGAGTTCATCATTCTCTGCTTTGTACCATTGTTACTTATGTCTGTTAATACTTTTGATATTTGCTATGTTGTAACTTTTTGTTTATCAAACTTTTATTCTAGACTGAGTTTCTTTAGGTCAGAAATCTTGTCTTCATCTTTGGATCCCCAGTGTTTCAACAGAGTACCTTACAGATAGTAGGTACCCCATAAATGTTTAATGGAAGGCCAAATATTTGTGCTGTCTATGAATTCAGTATGGTGAATACACTGTCTTGTGGACTTCTCCATACAAAGGAATAATTGTAGGATACTATGGTAAGCACCATATGAGAGGAATGTGCTGCCAGGTACTGCAGCAACCTGGAAGAGTGATTGGTTGGTGTGGAGAAAGTCAGAGAAAGTCTTTACCTAAGAGAACAGAGGAGTGGGAAGCAGCGTTGGTATGTACAGAAAAGAGACTAGTTCAAAGTGTGAGGAACCCACAATGCACAGGAGTAATAGGAGATGAATTTGGGAAAGAAGGCAGGTGCGACAAAATGAAGATTCCTTTAGGCCCTGTTTTAGAACTTGAGCTTTAGCCTTTGGGGGAGATTTTAGAGGTTTTATCCAGGAAGGTGGTAACATCATATTGTTTGCTTTACAAAAAGGTATAACAGCAGGACTTTCCTGGCGGTCCAGTAGTTAAAACTCCGTGCTCCCAATGCAGGGGACACGGGTTCAATCCCTGGTTGGGGAACTAAGATCCCACATGCTATGCAGCGTGGCCAAATAAAATAAAATTAAAAAAAAAAAGAATATCAAAGATATAACAGGCAGTTGTGTGGAACCAGGAATGGAGGGATGTGAAACTGGAAGTAGGAAGACTAGTTAGAGGAAGCTTCTAGTATAGGATTTCAAAGAGTCACAGCATTTAACCGAATGGAAAATGATTGTAAATCATTTTCATACAATCATTACAAAATGATTGTAAATCTGTGTAACAGAGAAGGGGGAATGGTTTCTGTGTAGAATCTGGCTCTGCCATTCTTTCTCCGTAGTAAAAGAGCAAAACCCCTTTTTTTGGTTTTCATGGTAGAGTATGATGAAACCCACGTCTACATAAGCAATAATGCCATTACTACCGGCGCAGTTCTGACTTTGCAGTGTGCTGCTGTGGTTGCTTTCCTCTGTTCATAGTGCCTTCTAGCATCTTGATAAAATAATGGTGAAATATTTCTTGCAACTTTCTGACTGAAGGTATGTCTGAAACAGTCTTTGTAACCCAAGCTGTCACAGAGTTGACACAGAATGTTTGTTCCAGTGAATGAGCAGTAAGTACTATTTTCATAAAAGTGCTAGAGATTTTTACTATTGACTAGCTTCCAGGAGGATTTTCTGCATAAGAAAGGTTATTTAGTGTTCTGTTGACTTCTTTTTAACCTATTTTGGCCTTTCATAAACTGTATTCTTAAGCTGTTTTAATGTCTGGCCACTGTAGGTGGTTATTTACATTTTGTGTCTTTCTTACTGTTATTTTTTAAGTATATTTATTTAAGCCATTTATTTATATCATCTCAGTTTAGACTTTCACATTTTCAGTGAATATTTCTTTTCTGGAAGTGCTAAACATCATATTTGTTAAAAAAAACTTCCTATAAAAATTCCTATAATTCCTATACAAGGATAATAAACCTTATCCAAAAACTTAGTGAGAGTATTATTGTCATGTGGGTTCAGATATATGATCCTTCAGCCTCAGTGACTTTGTATCTGACCATGTGGTTAAGGTCATGAATATTAAGAATATCTGTATATACTGGATATTCATTTCCCCTAATAACCCATCAAGAATCCATTAATTTATGTAAAATCACTCCGTCTTGTGGAGGCAAGAGGGAGCATATCAGATTTATTCAGAGGGCTTTCAGATTACACCACCATGATCCCTCATTAAATTCTGATTCTACCCAGCACCCATTGAGAATTATTACCAGAGAGACCATGGTTACCAGTAGATTTTAATGTAGAAAATAGTTAAAAGTGACTAGTGTAAAACTTTATTTAGTCTACTTACATTATTAATCTGTATTTCCTTTTGCACAAATTTCACTAGTTTGCTGTGTCCTTTGAAAGCAGGACTTCCTTTTATTTGCCCCCAAATTACCTATTTTCAGTGTCAAGGGAGGTACCCTCTCGTTCAAGTATTTGAAAATTTAATGAACAACTCTATTCTGGACTATTCATCCTACATCCTATCCATGCCCTTCATGGTTTCATACTCATTATATATATATCCCCTTTCCTTAACCACTTAGTTCCTTATCCACTGCCCCTTTCAGGTCCCCAAAGTCATTTTAATTGCCCTCTTCTGAATCTTCTCCAGCTTTATTTTTTCTTTTTTGAGGTAAGTTATATGGATTACAGTAGTATTTCAGATGTAGATTTTACTAACGCTTTATATGTGAATAAAATACGTAGTGTTATGTTTTGTTTCCTACAGTTGTCTTTAGAATGACATTTTATTGAAAGCCTTAAGTAAATTTTGCCATTTTTTATGTTTTGATTGAATAGTGTTCACCTTGAAACTGTACCTGAAGAAAAGAGTTTCTAAATAAAGCTGCTAAATATTCCTTAGTATTTTCCTTAAAGGTACTTAGAAATCAAAAAAATTCCTACAATTCAGGGTTCCCCTTACATTGATGAACTGATGACAAGTTAATACTTACATACGACCTGCACCAAGTGCTTCACTGGGCTTTTTTTTCCTTCTTGTTAAGATAAGTCTAAAATGATCATTTTAGGGACTTCCCTGGTGGTCCAGTGGTAAAGAATCTGCCTTACAATGCAGGGGACGCTGGTTCGATCCCTGGTCAGGGAACTAAGATCCCACATGCTGCAGGGCAACTAAGCCCACGTGTAACAACTACTGAGCTCACATGCCTCAACTAGAGCCTGCGTGCCGCAAAACTACAGAGCCCACGTGCTCTGGAACCCGCGTGCCACAACTACAGAGCCGACGCGCCATGGAGCCTATGCACCACAACTAGAGAAGAGAAAACCCACATGCCACAACTAGAGAGAAGCCCACGCGCCGCAACAAAAGATCCCGCATGCCTCAACGAAGATCCTGCGTGCTGCAACTAAGACCCACGCAGCCATAAATAAATAAATAAATAAATCTTTAAAAAATAAAATAACATGTTAGCATCTTGAAAGCTAATAATAGGGGAAAAGAACACATTTAGCTTGTACCAGATACTTTCCTAAGCACCTTGCATGTATTAGCCAGTGAGGTAGATATTATTCTAATTGTCTGTATCTGAAAACTGGAGTAAAGAGCCTGCTAGTAAGTGATAGAGCCATTATTAAGGTCCAGCAATTCCTGGCCTGCCTTTCAGTGGGTATAATGTACTTACATATTGTTGCTGACTTCTTTGAAAAAGAGTAACTTAAGCCTATCCTATTTGCTAATATCCTTAGGTTTTCTTATTTCTTATTCTCTTTCC